TTTTTTTTTTTTTTTTTTTTTTAACAGAATCAAGCATTTGGTCAGCTATACTCTGAAAAAGATATGAAGGAATCAGGCCAAGAAATACACAATCCAAAACATAGCCTGTAGGAGAGCTTCTGGTTATCTCCTCTTTTTGGTGTGAAAGGTTACGCCTAAGGAGGTTGGGAAAGGAGGTTGTCACCATCCCACTAGTAGCACCATGCTTCTTTTCTCAGCTTCTCTCAGAATCTTTAAGCTTGTTCACAGCTGCCAGGGTTTGAAGGAAAGGTGTCCACAGATATTTTCCTAGGCACACCTTATTAATAWGGGAGTATTTTCCTCCTCTCTTTGATCCACCACTAGGTGCACTGTATGCATCGAAGCATCTTTAAAAGTCATTAAAAAAAAAGTAATTAAAAAGTCCACAATTTGAGCGGAGCTGTTCAAGGCTGCGTTGTGCGTGTGAGTGTGTGCGCGTGCACATGCTTTTTCTCATTTTGCTTTAAACAAGAGTCACCTTCCTTTGGCTTCAGTGATTAAGGATATGAATCTGATTGCTCTTCCGTTAATTTAACTGCAYGAAAAGCAATTGAGAATGACTTCTTGCTAACCAGAGGGAGAAGGGTCAGTTCCTCCGCACATCCCAAGGCCATGAGCAGAATCCTAAACATCTTAATGTCACTTTCAACAGAGTTATTACAGAATCCTATTTTTAGCAGTTGCTCTTAGACGTGGGCATTTATGTACTGAAGCTTGACATGCCTTTGCTGTAGGTATGTTATTACTTTGCATGTAAGTACTTGTTGAATATACACATGTGTTTGCTCGTTAGCATAGGTTTGTGGGAGTTTTTTCCTTGTTTTAAGTTTTCAGAAATGAAAGACCTTTTCAGGCAAGTTCTTCAAAATGAATTTCTTATTCAACTGTATTCCCACTACATCAAGAGGTTTGCAGATCATTTGATTGATTTGGAGTCTGAAATACCTGGCATAATAGCTATGTGGCTGCTTTATACAGAAAGATCTGCAGCTGGATCACAAGCTGAAAATGAGTCAACAAGTTGGAGTGTTGAGAGAAAAGCAAATACAGCCTGGGATGTGTAAACATGTACTGTGCATAGGTTTACTTTAGAAAAAGTCTTTCATTGTGCTTTATATTATTCAAGGCRTCTGGGGAAGAAATATGTCAAAGATGAGGACACCAGACTTGGTGAGTCTGGTACAAGAGAGTGTTGCAGGATTGATCATAAATTGATTAATTGGTCTGAGAAATAGTGAGAAAAATTTGGAGTTTTTAAGGGAGGAACTAGTGGAGACATGGTGTCAGTCATTTTCTGTATAAAAGGTTGCTGCAAGGGAGAAGATGATAAGCTCTACTTTGCCTGCTGGAGATAGGACAAATAATGCTCTTAAAATGGAACAAGGAATAGCTGTGAGCTCTTTGGGAACAGAATGACAGTGCCAGTGAAGAGACATGAATAGATTGCTTTGGGAGATGAGATTGTTATGGGGTGCCCTATGCCCTATCAGTGAGTTTTTAAGAACACATTGGACAGGCTTTTGTTAGAAATGATTTAGTTGTAGTGGCTCTTTCTGACAGAAAGATTGGGTTGATCCCTTGGGACCTTCATATTTTCTTTATTCTTTTTTTTTTTCTCTCTTATAAAAGGTTTGCAACCTTTAAGACTTTTGCACATGGTAGCAACTCTTCCTATTCCATTCCAGCAAGCCTTGGTTAAAGTTTGGCTTTCTTCTAATTTGTTCCTGAGCATTTCTCGCCCTAAAATATATCTCTAACTCTTATATTGTCCTATGCCATCTTAAGAGTAGTTCTACCTAGAGGATAATATACCCCGTATTCCTATTCCTTCAGAATAAGGAAATCTCCCTCATCTTGTTTGTGTTGTTCTTAAGATGATGAAAGGCAACTTTCACCCACAGAAAGGGAACTTCCTATTTTAAACTTAACTCAATTATTTTGTAACTTTATAATTAAAATAGATCTAAAAATGGGGATCTTCCTGACTTAGTTATAGAACGTGAGTCTGAACTGCCCACTTTTTATATGTGAGAAAACAAGAGCCAAGGAGCCTACGCTTCTTACGAAAACGTGTGGTTTACAAGATGCTCATCATGCTCTGAATGAGAGCACATAGGTTCCCTTTGCTGACTGTCTCACTTTGAAACAGAAGCTAAAATTGTTCTTACAATTATTTATGAGAATTCAGTTGTCTCTCTTTTCTTGTAATCCACTGTTATAATTTTATCCTTAAAACTTCCATGGTARAGGGATTAGTCAGTAAACTCAGTACTGTTTATATAGAAATAGAAGGTTTTCTTGAAGCACACACATACACAGGCACTTGCCAAATCTACCTCAGTAACTTGGTCTTTTGCATAATCAAATGGGTTTTGCACAGTCCTGTATAGAAATGTATTGTGAAGGTGAGAGACTTGAGATTTAATTAATTTCACAATGCACAGTTTGCTTTGCTTTAAGTGTTGCCAGTGCTTGATCCATCTTTTATCCTTTCCTTGGCTTCTGTTAAATGTCAACTAATTTTGATGTGAAACTTAAGATTCTGGTTATGGGCTTTCCTGCAAACCAGAAATGGACTTACTTTGAAGTTCTGAAGTATTTTGATTACTTCAGTTCTTCACAAACGGTTATAATTTACGTTTATGCATCCAGTGGAAATCAGTCATTTTATTCGTGCAATTCCCAAAGAATGCAAATGGGCTTCAAATTCTTGATAAAGTTAAAGGCTTGCCAGCAAACTTGAAACCTGGTTCTAATGTCAAAGATCTTCATTACTACAAATTCCCTGAGACATACCAAAATGCAGTGGTGCTTTTTGATCATGAGATGGTTATATTTTAAAGGCAGACAGGTTCTTAATCCATCTTGACCTCAACATGGACCTGTTAACCTTGACACCTGGTCTTTAACAAGTTACAAGACATTGATATTATTGCCTAGGAAAGTGTAAAAAGAAGATCTTTATGTATGTAATGTAGTCTGGCTTAGATGAATCAGTATGTATTTTAATGAGTTTTCAGCTGACTTGGAAACATGACGTAGATGAAATAGTTATTAAGGCTATTTACTCTGTTTTGGTTTGTTTTGTTAAGTATCTTYTTTTCTACCAGTGGTAACACCAGCTTTTACTTAGCTCCTTTCTCAGTCCCATGTTGATGGGGCCTTTTCCTCAGTTTTAATATTGCAGAACAAGAGAAACAGAGAAGAAGCCCCTTTGTATTATAGCCCGGATTATGCAAGTAGAGCTGATAAATTTATCCTAGCACAGGACCAACAGATTGGTGATAGACAGAAAAATATTTGGGGTATTCCCAACACTGTGATCACAGAGGCATTTTAAAAGGAAGAAAATAAGGCAGGGTTTAACTGTAGTGACAAGGAAGCATCTTCCTAGTGATTCAAGGAAGGCATCCTAAAAATTAAGGAGGCTTTTAGACAAAGTCTTTTTTTTCTGACCATGATATATGTCTAGCTTTTTGAAAAAAACTTCTAAGACAAGGTCAGGAGCCTTTTGACTTCTTTTACAAGAAGTAACCTGGACAAAATGTGAGTTTTAGAARACTGTTCTGTAAGAGAGACTTGCTCAGCTGTATTGTTATGTAAAAAAGTCCCTGCATTTGCTGTTTGTCAGTGTAATAGCGGCCAGTGCTACACGATGGTTATGGTCTCTGGGAGGGCACAAGCCTTTCGTGTATTTGGGGATGACACATCCGAGCCTGGCTGAGCTTTAGGCTGCAGCTTTCTTGTTGACAGCAAAGCCTGATGTTGGTCAATGTGTGGGTGGAACCGAATGTGTTCCCCAGATCCTGCTGCGCAGTGGAGATTCACTTTGAAAAACATGCAACTGACTGATCTTCAAAGAACACATTAACATCTATTGTAGCTCGTATTCCAACTGTTTTTTACCATAAGATCAACATTTGCATTTACAAAAATCCAGACTTAGAAAATGGCTATGAGTTTTTGGGCTTTTTTTTCTTCCATAAATCATACTTTAACACTGGATTGAATGTCTTGGATTACCAAGTCTAGTTCTGCACTGTCTCAGGCTTCTTATAACCTTGAGAAGCAACAATATGCAGAGTGAGGAGGGAAGAAAGAAAAGCCAGCAAATTCTCCTTTCTCCTTAAGCCCTAGTCCGTAGCAGGAGAAATTTGCATTCATGGTACCTGGGACACTTTGTGAGTATGACCTTTCATCCGAGTTGGAGAGCACTCTTTTAGAAGAGCACCTTGCCATGTTTATCCTGTTCTGGCCTCAAATAGCCCTGAAGGAGGTCTGCATACAACTGAATTTTACATGTGTGTGATTCTTGAGGTTATCTGTGAAATACCTCACTGAAAAAGTATGCATCAAGGAGTGGTTGGGACAGTGAATTAAGTTTGCTTGCCAGAGAAACTAAAAAAGTTACTGGGCCTGAGGGAAGTATTAGAGAAAAGGAAGGAGATAGAACAAAMACTCATGTTTGTGAAGGACCAGCTCTGGGATTTCAAAGGGTATTTTTGTTTTTATTTTAGACTTGACCAGCTTGTTGGAAGATGATGTTTATTCCTGCTTGAAGCTGCCATTCTGAAAACACACAGTAAAAGAATGTGGAAGAATTCAAGCCTTCACTGTGTTTTAGCACTAGCTATTTTATGTTTAACAAGATTAATATGTAGTCAAGAGATAGGTGAGTGTATTTTGATATGGCACACTAATTAATTTCTCTTTGCAGTCTATTAACCGACACCATTTAGCTATGTTGCATTTCTAATATATATTCTTCCAAAAATTGTCACCTCTGTGGTCCCACAAGATCCTAGAGTTAGTGGTACTACTAGGCTGATCTCTGTTTTCTGGAAACCAGGACAAAGCTGGGTCTTAAATTCCCTGAAGCATGACTGTGGTCACCTGCATACTCTGTGTGAACATCTGCTTTCAGGTGTTCTTGCTGTAGACCTCAGCTGCCTGTGACATGCTATCAATAATTGCTCTCTTGTCATTAATTGCCCTTGGTGTGGGGCAGTGAAGGAGAGCAAAAAGCTCATTAAGTTCATCATCAAGGCTTGTGGTTTTACCTTTGGCCCAAAGCCTGCTTCTTAAGGAAGGTCAGCAAATGGATATTGTGGAAAGAAATAGCTGCCTGTGATTAGGTACATGAATATAAATCTAATTTTAGGGTACTTCTGGCAATGTCTGCCTTTCTGTAATCAGGCACAGAAATCATTCATCAGTTTTTAAGATACTGGCCAAAAATACATGMAGTAAAATGGTAAAAGAATGGCTATTGGTATGCGCACAAACACCTGTTTTGCAGTTGGTCAATTTTGACTTGCATTATGTAACTGTATAGTTCTTATCCTACTTTAGGTTCTCCAGGGGAACCACAGAATTTGAAATGTATAATGCACGATTTACACAAAATGATCTGTACTTGGGATGTATCTTCCAGAAGAAGATATGGACAGACTGATTTTTGTTACACCACCAGGTAAGTCCACRTACACCTAACTGAAAATTGTAAACCTGTGATGAAAGTCTAGCTATTCCTCAGTCCTTTCCCGTGGAATATGTGATCCTATTGTTTTCCAGCATGTCCCAGCCAGTTATCCATGGGTGGTGCTCTCCTCAGGCACTGTTAACTCAGGCAATGGCAGGTCTTCTGGCAAAGTATTGGTTCATGCTAACAATTATCCAAAACAAAATCTCCTGCTTGCTCTCTTCAAAGGGCTGGAAGATGCTCTCATTTCTTCAGAGTTCTCTGTGTTTTTGCCTAGCTCTTGCTCAGAGATTTCATAAGGGACATCTCCATACCGGGTTCATTCCAAAAGGAAATGATAGTTGGAAGAAGCAAATCCTGGTGTTATGGGCCAAAGCAGTAGAATACATGACATAAGTGTCGAGATTCACATGTGGAAAAACATAAAAAATCTCTTGGTGGTTGTCTTATAACCTTTATAAATTTTAATCTGTCTGGAGATCATTATGTCAGAGGAAGCATGAAAGTGAGTCCACATTTAGACTAGCCTTTCCAAAATACATGAGAGTTGAAAAATTTCAAAAAACATTAAAAAAGAAAAATCTTCAATATATTTTTCACTAATGAGAACTACATGTGCAATCCATGCTATGGATCTGCCAAATACTTATGTGCTATGGAGTTTTTGTGTCTTGAATCTGCCCCCGGTCCAGTTATTTGTACTGTCTTTCTTCCTGTAAATCCTTGGACAGCTCTAACTTGTCCTTGGGGTCCTAGGATTTGGCTGCACTTCTTCTGCCTACATGCTTGACTTTTTTTGTGTTTAGTTCCGCTTGTGTTGACAACTATCATCTCTATACAACAAAAAATATGTATATGCAACAATGTAGGCAGAGTTTTGGAGTGCAGTTTGGGAGATTCTGTCCTCTTAACAAGAATAACCAGGTAACTGTTGCTATTCCTTCTTAGCAGAGCAGAACAGGCTTGACTCCCAGAAATAACACTGGAACTGGGGGCTTGGCTTAGCTCAGATAGGGCTTGACTTAGCTCAGMTATCCGTTAGGGAAAGAGAGTTTGGGTTTCAGTTGCTCAGACGTCCTCTAATGGCATCGCTGTAACTGATTAGCAGCAGACTTTCTGAGCACTCAGGTTTCATTGGCCTTCGCTAGTGCAGTCTTTTGCATGAATCTTTAAAGTTCAGCTGAAGCTTTTGACTTCAACAGACAGGAGTTCCAGGTCCTGTTCCAGTTGTTAAGTGAGTAATAGTCCCTCCACGGGAAGTCTGGTGTTGTTCTCTGTCCTTTCCTTCCTCCCTTCATCCCCCAAGAGGAAGATCTGGATTTTTCCAAACTATTTTCCTTTCTAGCTACATATCAGTGATTATGAGCAAACGGACTTGACCTTTTGATTATGTTCTACATTGATCTGCAACCTTCAGACAGACCAGTTCACCTTGCCCTGACCACTGTTTGAATGATTCTCTCTTCCACCCRCCTCATCTTTTTATATAACTGAGTATCAGAAGGAAACTAAGAATTATTTTCTTTTATTTTTTTCTGTGATGGAGTGACAAAAACTTGATGGTTGTATCCATGTTCCAGAATTCTGAAAAGGTGGGAGAGGAAGTCAAGAAATGTGAGGGGGAGGGTCCTGTTGGCTTTTGTTTTATTGATTTTTTTGCTTACTTTGAAATTYTGATTCATGGTGACTTGGGGTTGGGAATGTGTCTTTTGGTTAAAAAGTCATGTTTTATCACTTTGCGGTGTTCTTTTACCAACTGTGGAGCTGCATTATGCACCTAAAGTCTACCACTATGATAAAGTGACTTGAAAGAAAAGGGAATGTTTGGTAATCCAATATTAACCAAAGCATGTGCAATTGTAATCTTTCTCAGACTTGACACGGAGYTTCCTTTCTTGTGTTACATAGAGGTTGTGTTATACAAATGTCCTGGAATGTCTCATCTTCCTCTTAGCTGGAATACCTACCTAATCTCTCTCTTTTCAGTGACCTTCTCCCTCCAGTGTGCATCAAAACTAGAGAGAAAAGAGTAGAGATTCCAGTCACGGACAGTTCCTTCACTGTGACAATAACCACCAACAGCATTTATGGAGCTGCTTTTGCCACCAAAAAATTTGCAATTCACAGGAAAGACGTCTGTAAGTAATGGCTTTTATATGTGTATATAAGGTCTTTATCTGATCACTGTTAAGACATGCTCCAGAAGTGTATGTGCTTGCCATTTTCTGTGGCAGCGTTCCTGAATGTAAAATGTTGATGTGCAGAGTCCCTATGCATCTGGCCATATGCAGTAGGTTGTTTTTCTCCCCCTTTGGAGAAAAGAAAATCTCTCCACTTATGGCACTTTTCAGTAGCTTTTGTCTTCTCCTTTACTGTGAGCAAGTCAGAAACTAACATTTATCTAAAAAATGCGTGCAGTTCATACTGGATGTCTTGCTGACTCCAAGCAGAATGGGCCTCCTCACAGGTTATCCCAGGTAGAGTGCTGCCTGTGCTCAGCACTTTGTAGGCTCTTGGAGCTTCCCCTTGGCTGGTACCCAAGCTGGATGAATGACACACTGAAAAAAAAATAAAAACAGAATTTATCCTGCAGCAACCCCACTCTATTTGAACTGCCATAACCCTCTCTGGGTTCTCAGTCTCTTGCTTCACTACCGCCCACTCAYACAAGAGACACTTCTAGTTAGATAGTATCTCTGTACTGTTCCTGTCATTGCCATGACTTTCATCATGTTCCTCATCTTCCTCTACAGAGCCTCATTCAAACTTCTTCCACCATTTGCTTTTGCTCTCTTTTCTCCATGCTGCTGCTTTTGCTGTGGCTTATACTTCCTCCTTCACTCTTTCCTGCTGGTCTCCAAAACCCCTTTCTCCCTTTGGAACTTTTACTTTCTCCTCCCTACCTGTATCCCTTTGTACACTTAAACTGTAGTTCTCTTATCTTGATGGCATTGAGTGAAGGTTGTGAAAGGTAATACGATGCCTTCCTTGCAATGCATTTTGAAGAGTCATATTCATGATCAGTTACTCACACATCTGCATGCTCAAATGGCAGAAGAAAATGCCACTTAGTGACTCATCAGCGCCTGTGCTTTCCTGGGAACCTTCCCATTCAAGTAATGACAGAGCCTATCTAGTGCTAATTACAGACATTGACCTACATGTTTGTATGGCTACCAGCCAGTTCAGAGCTGAGACATGTGGCTATGAAACACCTGTAGGACTGATGTTGCTGACTAATGGCTTGAATATGGGCTCTTTTTCCCTCTCTCTTTTCAAGCATTCGTTCCACTCGCTCCACGCATTCTTAGTTTAACTCCTGACTTTTCAACTTACACATTAAATCTGAAGTGGAGTGATAATGGATCAGTCTTCCCGTATGGATTGGATGCATTTTGGCAGATTGAGATACTCCGTAAAGAAACAATGGAAAAAGTAGCACAAGTAGGTCTTTTCCTTTTTTTCCAAAAACTATATATATATATATGTTTTTATCTTTTACCCACAYGCACCCCGTAATATTTTGAAGGGGTCTTTTGAAGAAAGTTCAGAATGATGCAAAGCATTGAGCTTTGYAGATTCTGAGCATAGTCATGATGCAAGTAGGTATCTTTCTGTTAAGTTTGGAGAGTAAGTTAGTTAAGCATTTTATAGACACGATATATACATCACTTTATTATCCTGAGGGCACTATGCGGTGTCATGAATTAAGCCAGTATTAGGAGAATGGCAGTCTCCATTTTCTAAGGTCTGTCTCTAACTTTGTTCTCTAAGTTTTGCAAGTGAAGAAAAAAGTATGACCTAAGAATAAAATTTAGAAGGAGGAGGTTCATTTTGCAAAAGTTGGAGCGTATCCCTGTGTGGGAGATGCCCTGAGTACTGGGATGCGACATATACCTTCTGAAATTTTTTGCAAGCTGCCTGCTGTCCCTCAGATATCTGCCCTCTGGCATTTTTGCCTGATAGTCTACCTGGTTGGTGGGCTGTTTAGCATCTTAGGCTCTTTTCTGAGTAAATTCACCTAGCGACTGAAAATATTAGATGGGATAATATGCCCATCTGTCAGGATTTTATGATTTGCCACAATTAATTCACCCATCTGTTGACACTTGCAAGATTCTGCATCTTTGTTAACAACTGTTCCTAAATTTTCTCTTTGGTGTTTGGGGGGATACTTTGTAGGTAACTTACCATTCAAAACTGACCCATGAAAACATCATTCTTTCTTGGAATTGGACATCGGACATGCCTTTGGAGTGTACATCGCACTACGCAAAGATTCGCTGTTACGTTAATATCACTGACTTTGTAGGCCACAAGGAGTGGAGCGACTGGAGCCCAGTAGCAAAGCTTCCTGGTATGTCTGTTTGCTTGACATCACATGGACTTTGACATCCATGCTTATTACAGAGATGCAATTATAAAAGCAAACACTGTGTTTTTACATATACTGGATTTATAAAAGCAAGCTGTTCATGAGTTTTCTTTTCATGTGTTTTCTGCTTTTGCTTCTTTGATAGGCAAAGATACTGAGCCCAATGGCAGTGGGGTTTTTCCTCAGGACACTGTGGTGGCAGTAGGTTCAGATGTGACAATTTGTTGTGTCCACGAAGAAGGTCAACAGATCCAACAGATGACTTATGGACCAGAAATATACCCATTAATACATCTGAGCAGTCGGAGCAGTGCAATCAGGGTGCTAAATGCCACTGCTTCAGATGCCAGTGGGACAAATGTAGTATGCACACTATCCCAAGATGGGATGGATGGAACTGTCTTGTTTGTAGGATGTAAGTATAATGACATTTGTTAACCTTAGAAAAATCAGATTGGTATTGAGACTCCTGGCTTTGAATATTTGCTCTCAGTTTCCATCCTTTTGTATTCACATCCATTCCAGTTTTGTCCTGGAAAGAGGAAGAGTAAGAGCAAGATTTATGAGTGAAAACATTTGTTTACCCGTCAGTCAAATGAAGACAATAAAACGGTTACATTTGCAGCAGCAGATCCTCCTCATCCAGGGCAATAGCTTTCTAGGAGCTCATTACTGCAAAGGAACCCTGTTGACTATTCATCTTTCCTGGAAAATCTTCTGAACATTCTTTTAATATTTTTGTTAAAATATTTAGGATACTAAGTCACTGTTTATATTTCTGTGTAACCTTGCAAGCCTCAGAAATGTCTTCCAGATATAGTTACCTCTTAAAACAAGCTATTGAAAGTATCTGGTTCTTCTTTCCCATAATTGGTTACTTCAGAGTTCTGCATGTTTTGTGCAGCAGTGGTCGAGGGGATTGCCTTATTCCAATAGCTGCCCGCTGGAATAAGTGTTTCGCTTTACAAACACCCACCTTTGAACTTAGGATCCTTGAGGGGGTCAGGGAAAGGAGAAGAGAAACTACACTTATTTTGAAATTTTGTTTCTAATTCCAGCCTGGGCCTCCTGTCACTGACTTTGCATATTTAGTGTATGATAGCAAATGCAAAAAGGAATCCAGCTTTTTTGGGAGTCTCATTGAGGTGCCCTTTTTATATTGTGGGCTTTTATTGGAGAACTCTCCATGTAAGCAAGTGAACAAAAGTAGCAACAATCCTCCTGGGGGCAGTGAAGCTTAATCACTGTTTTCCCATACAGCATTTTTCAAAGATTTGTGGTATGGTAAAGTGTATTTACTGCCAGTGTTTCCTCTCGCAGTACCTAGTTAGTGGGAAGTGAGAGATTTTGTAAGGATGCTCTTGTTGATGAAACATTTAGTCCTCCATCACTTCTTCCCCAAATGTGCATACCTTAGGTACCCTAGGTTTGGCAAGCTCCTCTTTTTGGTCAGCTGCTCCTAATTTGAACTACTGTTGCCTCTTGTAGTAGTGCCCCTTCTCGGTGTAGGTACTTGATATTGTAACGCAACCTCTTGGGTGACAGCATATGAGTCTTGAAAGAACAGCTTTTTTACAGCCTAACATCAGCATGATTGCCCTGTCTATGCTGGGAGCATCTTCTCTAGGAAAGCAGTTAACAGTGCTCTAGTGCAAGATTGAAGGACAAGCTTTAGGAGAAAAGGAAAGATGGGAATGAGCGGTGCAGGACTTGCTTCAGCTCCCAAATACAGGGTGGAAATTGTGCTGAAGGGAACTTCTCCTTGACATGACTTGCTTAGAGAATTCAAAGCTGGCACATCACAGCGTGTGACGCATGGCCAACAGCACTCCCAGATCGCTCAGCAGCTAAACTGACACTCAGAATTTTGGAAGTATCTTGGCACAGTTTTAGTAAAACCCTTCCAGAGCTTACAGCTTGTGAACATATTTTCATGTGATTTACCAGATTATCCACCCACTTAGAAGGGTAGAGTCAAGTGTTAGTCAGTTAGGGCTGTTAATAGTTATCCATGTGTTTAATTTGAATTATTTATACGGTTGGAGAGTAATTTTTACCATATACTTGTGAGGCACGCAATCTAGACCTAGCAGAAAAGCTCTTAATGGTGATGCTTTCAGGAAGTGGGCAGCTTCACTGTTGCACTAGGATGGGAAAAACACTCTTAACTCTTCTGGTTGCCTTTTGTAATACAGATGCCCCTGATACACCTCAAAACCTCAGCTGTGAAACATCCAACTTTCTCACAATAAAATGTACCTGGAAACCAGGCAGACCCAGTGGACTATATGGAGAACGAAGAACAAAGTACAGTTTACTGGAAAGGTAAAACCATTCATCATTGAAAAGAGGAAAAGATAGAACTTCAATATATATCTTGCTGTCRCTGACTTACTGCTCCAAGCCTGCCTCTAATTTAAATGAAATAGTATCAGTTTTTAGAGCCTAAAGTGTTTGTTTATTTTCAAAAGTTTGATATTTTTCATGGAACTGAAGATGGGACTAAAGTCCAAAACCAGCTCCAGCCTAATTTTGCAATATTGCAATGGGGATTGAAGATGTTTCTGTTTTTGTGTTTCTTTTCTGAAGACTTATGCTGTTATGGACACATGACAAAATAAAACCTTAGTGCATCAGATTTTTGCCAACAGGTGGGTAAGACCAATGTGAGATTACAGGGAGAGTCATTAACTTATTTTTGTGTGCAGCCTCGGACAGATCATCTTTCAGACATTTCCTGAGCTTCTGCATGACAGAAACTCACTGAGAAACCAGTGTGAGACAGACCATGGAGCATTTGCAAAATGCTGGTAGGGAGCATTGGGAAGAACAGAAATAAGCCTACTCCCCTTCCCTGTCTCCCAGCGTTGGGAACTGTGTGGTGCAAAACAAGTATGAAATATAAATTAGCTGGAAAATACTGAAAAGGACAWACAACATTGGCGCCATCTCCAGAATGAAATGAAAGCTGCTGTCCCCTTGGTTCATAGTATATGCTAGGCCGTTTACAGCCTAGGAAAAAGGCTTGACTTCCTAAAAGTGAAGAATCATCATTTTGGAATTTCACTGGCAGATGGTATTTTTTAGTGGTTGTGATTAGGAGTGGACAAGGAGAGAGCAAAATTGGCGTGGTGAGGAGGCTTCCCTCTAATGCCAAAGCAACAATCAAGGAAGAGAGCCAGAAGGCCTGAGTCACACAAACCGAGGGAAAACGGAATTTAATGGTGGCTTTTAAAGCAAGTCAGAGCAAATGAAGATGGAGCTATAGTCACGGATGTTATTGCTAAAAGTCATTTGTTAGGGTACAGTTGGTGGGGGAAACAGAAGTGATATCTAAGAGAGGAGCTCTAGCCACTGTACATTTTTAGATCATGAATGTGAGCATATAGTTCAGATTTGTTTTGCTGAGCCCATAAACGTGAGGAGGTGAATGTGATGCATTTCTGGATGAATATTCTCCTTGTTTTTGTGCCACATTGGRCTTTTGAAATGGATATTATGATGTGGAGAGAGTTCAAAGCTCAGCCGGAATACAGCAAGACTGCCCAAGAAAAAAATTAAATCTTTGCTGCTGAGTGAAAATTTATGCAGATTCTAATATACACACAAACATATGTGTGTGTATATATATATATATACACACATATATATATATATATATACACACACACGCACACACATATACATATATACACACTTTATTTTTTTACGTTTAGAAACTCTGGTCTTGGCTGTTAGCAAACCACCTTTCCTGCTTTTGCTTTGGAAATGCCTGGGACTAGTGGAAGTATCTCAGATGATAACCCRTAGTTTAGATTTGACAGGGTTGATGGAAGGATGTCATATATGACCAATCTGCTTAGTTCAGAAAGCAGTTAATGACATACTTGACATGCAAATATATGCTGATCTGAACAAAGATACTTCAAATCAGTCTTAGTTGTGACTTGTGAGGTAGTTTTACAGGACCTACCTGTTTTCCAGGCTTTTGAGAAGTGAGAGGATGGAAATGTAATGCTAGTGGAAGAGGAGAGTTTCATGTGAGAGCAGGGCAAGTCATGACTGATGCCAGTTTAACTGCATTAAGGTGTTAAATATACATCTGCAATCAAATCATTCTGTAAACCTCGTCAGTGAACCCCTCATGTTTTACTGTGTTTTAAGTCTAGATTGCAGACCGTTGATAGAAATTGTCTTATTCAAAAATTAAGTTGATGTCCTCCCCACTTAATTTCATAGAATATCTGGGAAAAACGTTTCATGTGAAGTAAATGAAATGAGCAGAGAGCGTGTATGTGGCTTCCCAGTGCTGGCTGATCAGAAAACCTACAGCTTCACATTAGGTGTCTCCAATCCTATTGGGCAAGCAGAGTCCTCACTTTTGGTTGATTTAACTCAGAGAGGTAAGACTTAAGAATTACAAAAGCAAAAACATCCACCTACTGCATGCTGACCATTTTTTTGAGTTCACATCTGTAACATACTGTGTCTACTGTTATTTTTCTTTGTTGTCASCAATATTTTGTGTTGCTCAGTAATTTGAAATTAAGAAAGTTTAGGACATGACTTGTGAAGCACACATCTGCATGGATACAGTGCTGTGGGGTTAAATGCTGCTGKGATCTAGCAAGTAGCCAAGGGCTGTTTACGTGTTACTGCCTAAGTATCATAAATTTGAGATGTAACTTCATGAACTGTTTATGTAACTGTGAACTGTTATGAACCAATATTGCAGTGCCTGCTTATAGGAAAAGATCTTACAAGCTTATTTTTGCAGGATTTGGAGCCTAGGACAGCAGCATTAAGAGGTCATAGCATACTATTGCAGCTGTGATCCTGTGCTCATCTGCTTTGTTGAAGCAGTATCTTTAARTTGACCCCCAATATCAATTTGGAAAAGGGAGAAGATGAGTCCTGACAAAAAAAATCACAGGTCCTAATTTATTTCTGTTAATTATTAACTAATTAACAGAATTAGTTTATAATTTTTACATTCAGCAAGTATGATTGCTGTTTCCCATTTGAATTCTGTCCTTTGTTAACCTCAGTGAACACATTGAACTCAATTCCCAACACAGAATGCACATTTCCTTAGAGGCAAGTGGGTCAATTGTAGCAGTTGAGGATTTTCTCTATTAGTTACAATTAGCTTTAAAACATTGCATAAAGAGAGTTTTAGGGAGGAAGAGGTTGTTAAATAGTCCTACCCTTCTGAGTCTTCAGATGGTAATTCTTAAGTTTAAAAGTTAATGGTGAACAAGTTTGGGTTAGTTTTGTGTATCGCTGTAGTCCTCTGAAATTTCCTGTGCTCTAGGTAACTACACCTTTTTTTTATAAAGTTAATATAAGGTGAAATGTATTTGTGAACCACCAACTTCTTACCACAGATGCCATTATGTCAGTAACATTCAGCMTTGAGTGAATTGTTTGTTTGATAACTAAAAATTGCGTCAGGAATGAAACTGCTTGCAAGTGCCATGAGAACACCAGCAGCACCAGCTGTCCTCGTTGCTAATCGGATAATTTATTTGTCTTTTGATTCTCTTGGCACTTTTAAAATCAGGATTTTTCTGAGTTTTTTTTTTTTCTTAGAACTAAAGGGATTTTTTTCCCTTTTAATTTTTAAGTTCATCCAAAAACTCCAGAAAAATTATTTGCTTCTGGGAACAGTTCTACAAGTGTCCGTCTGCGCTGGTATATAAATGGCAGCTTTACTGAGATCCGGCTTCTGTGTCAAATTGAAATAAGCAGTGGTCACTCTGAGCAAAAACTGGTAAGTATTGCTTTTAATGGAATTTGTTTTCTTCAAATGTTAATCTTTTTTACTGAATTAATAACACTTTGACATTCTTTTCTTGGCTTCATTCTGATCTTACTAAATKATTAATGCAGTAATGATTATAAATCCGTCTACTGAAATCTAGAAGAGATATAATTTATTCTTCTCTGCTTTGTCTTATTTGTTTAGTATTACACAACTTAGAGAACAGCCAATTTAGCAAGCACATTATTTGGTGCATTGAGAAGGTGCCTAGTGTTTTATAGTGACCTTTTGCATAGTAGTTTTCGTGCCTTGTCCTCCTCCTTGCAAGCTGTGCTAACACGTGTTAATTCCCATGATGTGCTGCTGCTCCGCAGGCTTCCATGGTGGTAGTTTCTCCTTGCCTCTTGCAATCTGTCATTGATATATTCTTTTTCCCTTTGGAGAACCTTGCAGCTGCTTGCTGTCAGTAGTTGACATGCATGTGGCTGTGTCGCAGAGCTGCTAAACCTGCTCATGTGTCAGTGCTGTGGAGACAGGATAGGGACAGATTCTCCCACTGGGCATGTGAGTAGGCAATCCCGTGAAGGCTTCTACATCTGGAGAGAAGATGTTGTTTCTGGGTGAAGTTCAGCTCTCCAGCATGTGGGATTCTCACTGTCCTGGTGCTGTGTCGCTGACTGGAGCTGCGTACTTACTCCACTGACTGTCAGAGTTGCTTAGGGTATTAATTTACACACCAGATTCAGATGCTGAGTGTAGGTGGTGGGAATATATCCTTGCCTTTCTTACTGCCTAACTTGGTGTGTGAGTGATCAGTCTCACTGGGGAAGCCCGATGGCCAAAACCAGTTGGCCCCGGGTCTACCCCCAACGCTGTGTTTGCGCATTCAGGTGTTGTATCTCTGACCAGCCCAGCTAAGCTCACACTGAAGTACCCAGTCTTGGAGCACACAGCATAGCCTGAATTGGTTATTTGAATACACTCACCTTCAAGGTTGCTTTTTAGAAAACTTGTTTCTCGGTTTGTTTTTAACCAGATTTCTGTTACTCAGTCAGAGTTAGTTACTTACCAGGGAAAGCCTTGAATAGTGTCAGTCCAGCCACAGAAGTGAGACTGAACATGATGATGAAATACCTTGTCCCTAAAATAATGGGGTGGTGGTTAATGCATGCTCTATCTAGAGTGTTTTTTACAATACTGTCACGCTGTTTACAGAGTATGTAAGCTCTTAAATTTTCTCTATAATCAAGTGTGTTTAGTAGTACCCTGAGACTAGTGCTGCAAAGAAAATCATAGCTATTTTGGGAATTAACAGAAGGAACTGGCTTTAGATATAACTATAAGAGCTCTGACAAATGAGCTGTGCTGGATTTTGATATAGTAGTTTGACATATTTTCATCCACAGTTTACATTTGTTGGCTCCTACAGTTACTGCTCCTGGAGCAATCAGCAGTGAGSGCGWACACTGATATTTCACTCACCTCCAKCTCAGCTAGCTGAAATTGCCAGCAAAGGTGGGATTGCACAGCTCTGTCCAGCCCGAGTCCCATGGGACAAAGTCTGGGGCCCCTCTTAGCTCTTGAGCTCTGCCTCAGTTGTCTGGGGCACTGGGAGATGGTCCTGCGCTGCCACTGCAAATTGCTTCCCTGCATCTGTATCAGAGCCCTCCATTATGGAGACTTTTGGAATATAGCACACAAGTTTATGTAAACTTTTTGCAGCTTTGTTTTGTCCCTGATTACTTTATTTAAAACAAAACAAAAAACTCCAAGAGTCCTTTGTAATAAAAAGTGGCTGTGAAGTTACAGTTTTCTGGATGGCATTTCGGGGATGTTTTCAGAAGCTTTTCCATCCATGTGAGAACCATGTTGTTGGCTGTCTGGTGTTTTTCAAGTTGTTACTTGGCTTTAGAAATGTACAATTAGCTGCAGCTTAAAATTGTTTGGAGTCTCGTTCTTGGCAACGGTAACGCACGTGTGATATAATTAGATGAAATAAAATATATTCTCAGGCTAAAGGTTTCTTTAGTAGGCATGAAACTGAAATACTGTCGAGACTTGCACCATTTTAAGAATAACAAGACTGGATAGTGCTGTAAAATAGATATGAATAGAGATCACTTGGGTAAGACTTACATATTGTCCTTGGAAAGAAATGGGACTACTAAGAAGACTCTAGTAAGTACATTGCTCTTACAGACTGTCTCCAGTTTGTGTTTTAGGCTTCTGTTTGTGTTTTAGGAAAATATGTCGCTTTCGTTATAAGTGTTGACTTTCAGCATAATTTAGGAGAAAAAAATAATTGTGTCAATTTTTTATAATTTTTTAACAGCACAACATCTCCATGCCTGGTGGAAAATTCTCAACTTACRTGGCTCAGCTGAATTCCTTGCAGCCCTATACCAAATACCAGTTCAAGGTGCGCTGTTCAGCTGCTGACCACTTCTGGAGATGGAGTGATTGGAGCAGGGCAGAGCAATACACAACGCTCGAAGCCCGTAAGTCTATTTAGTTTGGTGACAAAATATTGAACTTCTGAAGCCATTTTAAAAGTTACAGAAAGGGAAGCTGTCTTTTTGATTGTTAGATGTTAAATTGTCTCTTATGCAACTCACGAAAATAYTTTTTTTTTTTCCTCAGCACCTGTAAGAGGACCAGATGTCTGGAGAGAGAGAAGTCCTTCTGGAAGAAGTCTAAAAATCTTCTGGAAGGTAGATAGGAACTTAAAGTTTTTAAGCATTATATCAGCCAGTCAAGCAAAATAGTATTCATTACACATTTATAAATGTGCAAAGTTTACAGTCAGTAAATAAGATTACATTTCTGAACTTTTTAGAATCATTTGTTAAGACAAGTATTTTTCCCCAAATGAAAATATTATTTCAGTTCTATATTTAAAAAGAAGTATTATAGATTTGAGAAGAATTTCACTTGAAGAATTAAATTTTTAAAAGGCCCTACATAAAAAATAAGAAATTAGGACCTTGGATGTTAATTCCTAAAATCACACTTGAGTTGCTGTGTTTTTTGCCTGGCAGTCCTATACGTTAGATTCCTATAATCCTATGTCTCCCTCTGCTTTTTTCCATTTTGTTTCTTATGCACTTTTTATGCTTCATAGCCACTGTCCCTTTCCGAAGCCAATGGAAAAATAGTGTCTCATGAAGTGTCGTGCTACCTGCTAGATACGCCGCTGGAGTATAAAGAAGTCACCGAACCGTCACATAGTACCGAGATAAAGCTTGGGAAAAACGATTGCGTAATTAGCGTTGTAGCCAAAAATCACGCAGGTTCCTCTCCCCCTACGAAGATAACGAGCGTGGAACTGCCCAGCGGTGAGTGCTCGCAGCAGAGGTCTAAGCACCATCTCAGCCTGGAGAGTACCTGGGCAAGCTTGTTTATTGAAAAATAAGGACATGCGTGCTCTGTTTGCTTTGGTTTGGGAGGTTTCATCCCATCCACATCTACATGTGTTGCTTCACTTTGGTGCAGTTTGTCACCAAGCTGAGAGAGTGCAGTGTCTGCAGCCGTGTTGCACTTCTCTGGAGGCTTCCCAGGAGCAACAAGGGTGAAACGAAGTCATTGACACTGATTGGTCTGTGACATTTGGGGAGCTCAGTTTGTTTCTCTGTCTCCTTGTTGAGATACTGAAATGTTGTACACAATAAAGAGAAACAAAATATGGTTGTGAGGGCATGTTGCGTGCCTTCTTAGGTGGGAAATTGTCAGTTCAGTAATTCTGAGCTCTCTGTTATATAAATATTATTCAGACTACTTGGAAAAGCATTTGCCTCCTTGTATTGGAAGCTGGGGTTTGAAAAGAAAGTGGACTTAGCTTCCCAATTAGAACATTGTCATGCTTGCTGTGGGTATCTATGAAGTGATGTAGCTGAGACAGAAAATGATTTTCATGAAAATGTTTTTATAGCTCTTCTAGAGCAAAAAGAGAATTAGATTCTGGGAGTTGTGGAGGTCTCTAATACAAGTTTGTGGTGTGGGAYGGATGATGGCAGATGGAGCGTTGCAAGTCATTTGCAGCTTTCACTTGGAAAGAGCTCGCGGAAGTCTGAGGTTCCCCTTGGTGTTACCCAACTTGTATTCTAGAAGATTTTTGTCCCAAGTAGTATAGGAATTATCTGAGTCACTGACTGGAGACACGAAATCTGACTCATTCAATGAACTGCATGACATTTGTACCCAAACAGTCTTTTCTGGCTGCTTCCTGTGTACACAAGTACTTCTTGGATCTGTAGCAGAGCAGTGGCTCTGAAGATTGAGATCTGCTGATGAGGCTTCATGGAAACTGAAAATAGGCAGGGGGTCCTCTGCCTTCATTCCTCTGTCACTGCCTCTGAAAAGTGCTCTGTAGAGAGCTGAGGGCGTGTAATCTGTCTGCCACTTGCTCTGTTGTTACAGGAGGTAGTACTGGTAGCAGAAATGCACCAAAAAGCAGAATACAGAACACTGCTCGTTACTGCCCAGGGTGAATCTCCTGTCTTCTGGCTCAGGAAATAATATTCAGTGTGGTTTACTTAAAAATTTTTAGAGGATATGTGCTCCTTGTCTGTAAAATCTTTTCTGTAAATAGAAAAGCTGAAGCAGTTTCATTAGAAGTAATGACGCTGAGGTAATGATGCTCTTCATGCAAATTCTCAGCACCACAGAAATGTGGTTTCAATGGTTATATAATAACTTTTTGCAAGGGGAAAAGTATTAAAAGTACCTTTGGAGTTGGACTTCTCTTTGTTAAACTTTATGTATCTGTCTTGCTATGAACAAACAAGAAAAGAACTAAATTCTTCAGTATATATTAGTGATGTTTAGAAATGTGCAGTCCTTCAACATTCACAGCATGGCTGTGAGAATCAAGTTTTTACRACATTGCCTTTTAAAAAACTGCCCTTTCCCTTCAGCCCCCCCATGGTGTAGGGCTTTAATGACATGAAATAATTGACTCCATAGGGGGTCATAAATGAGAACATTGGAAAAGAAAAACTGAAACCCTGAGACTGTTTTTGGAGATCTGTCATGAGGCCCACAGCTGTTGCAGTGGCCTTTGGAAAACATCCATGAGCTCTCCAGGACCCCTCCTGACAGGCAGCTATAGAGGGAAACTACTGGAATGACATGTTGGTCCCTGATCTCATGAGTTCAAGGGCAGCTAAAACTTTAATAACAGAAATAAAAGCAGAAATAAAAATTTTAAGACCACTGAAGGCARAGATTTTTTCTTTTTTAATTACCCTTGGTGTTCTGCAGGCTCCACAAAGTTCACTGGGGACTTGTCTTTTGCTGTTGATCCTTGGTGAAAAATTGTCTGCGGTTGGATAAGAGAGACTTCTAAAGAAACACACAGCAACCCCCTTGATGGAATGACAGGAGGAATTTGTAGCTGGGGGCTCCTGCCAAATTGGTGTCAAGTTAGATTTGAACACGACCATCTGCTGGAAATGCTTACCTTGAAAATGTGCTTCCCTGGCCGGGCCTGCGCTGCAGCTCCAGCCGCGCCGCGGGATTTGCCGCAGGCTGCGTCTGATCCCGGCGCTCCGGAAAGCTCTGGAGCCGAGAGCGGTGCACCGGGTGTCACGGCACCGGCGGCGCGCGCCACTTTTCTTAGAAATTAGCGTGGTTTGCAGCGGCCGCGCGCCGTGCCCGGGAGGCTTTCACGTGGCACAGATAGCTGCCCGCCGGCTCATGGGGCTTTTGTGTCGTTTGTGTCGCAGACGATGTCAGAACGGAGCGCGCCGTCGCACTGGGGAATGGAATTTATATTTCTTGGAATTCTTACCCCAACGTGACCTGTGGCTACATCGTAAAATGGTGTCATTCATCTGGGGATGAGCCCTGTAGCGTGGACTGGCAGAAGTTTCCTGCAAACACAACAAATGCAGTGATAAAATCTGGTAAGGCAGAAATGAAAGTTTTTGTGAGTCTGTCTGTTTCAGAGGTTGAACAACAAGTAAAAAGAGAACATTTCCAATAGTATAGATCAAAGGTTGTTGTGTTGCTGTGTGCTTGTGTATATAAATGAGCCTCCCCTTGGTGTTGTGTTTATTTTGATTTCTTATGCTGCTCTGCCAAATCCAAATATTCCATCTTGGTTTGATTGTCATTATCCTATTTTATTAACTATTTTGAAATGATCTTTTCTAACTGCACCTAAAAGCTTCGTCATCCAACCCTAAACTTCCTAAAACTTCCTAATGTGTAATGGTTAATATAGAGCTTTGAGTTTTATTCAGATGCTAAACATAAACCGTGCTGCCTGGGACAGAGGGGAGACTTATCTGTTGTTTGTACATGAGGCAGATATTTTTAAGTGTGACCTCCTTGTGCTGGCTTGCTGTCAGCAATTGAAGTTTCCTGGAACGGGGCACATTCCAGGTCTCTAGATGCTGGTGGGCAGATCAGGGAAATGAAACTCAGCTGTGGTGAGACTAGTAGGAACGGAAGAGGAAAGAGAGCTCTCGAGAAAGATGTTGGATTTTTTGCTGCTCCCTGAAAAGGGTATTTGTTTGCTTTTTAGAAGAGATTAGTATATAAAGTCTCCATGAAAGAAAATAATTTGGAGCTGTGTACATGGGGATTATGATAGGGGGCAATAGCGTTGTTCGTAATGTGGTTACAACTCTTTATCCATGTTGGGTTTGTTTGCATTGGCTCTAGCCTGCTTTTCCTGCGCAGACAACACGGGCTTTGTCCTGGGATGCACTGATCTCCTCCTGAGCTCTTTGCTGGGATGTTTCTTGTGGCAGATTGTTGGAGCTACCAGGCTGCGAGGGCTCAAACCAGCCCTGTGCCAAGTGCTGCAAGGAGAATCTTTGAGGCTAGACCTGAGCTCTTGCAGAAACCCCCTTGACTGCTCCAGTGGGTCACAGTGGCATCCTGTTTAGGGGGAAAAATGGGCAATTTGGGCAATGAGAATCAATTTGATGGATATCAGTTTTATGCGTCAGAGTTTGGACCTGGATTTCACTGTTGGAGTGATTCAGTATCATTTTTGAGAGTTCTCCAAATTATTTTTGACGCTGTTTCTGTAATAGGCCTGTGTTTTAAGGATGTGTTTTGTATTTCTGAGTAAGCAGGATCTATGTAAGTACTGTAAGAGGCAACAAAAGGGATTGTTTCTGTAACTTTGCAATTTGTGGTTCCTCATGGAAAGAGCAATTTAATGCAGTTCCAGTAGATTGTTTTCCATTCTATTTGTTTAGAACTGAAATTGCTCTGAGCTACATTTCTTTTTTTCTTTTCTTTTTATCTTTTTTTCCCTTACTGCCTCTAAACTGTGTTTGATGGCATAGCTTTTATAGGAATTACAAATGAGAATAGTATTGATACCTAACACTGTGGTCTAAGATTTAATGATTTTTTTTTGAGTATGTACTTAAAATGTGTGCATCATCTGGAAGCTAAAGGCATCATTCTTCCCAAGCCAAATCTTAACAGTAATTTTCTGTTGCAGCACTGTTTAGACCTGGTGTGCGATACAACTTTTCACTGTATGGCTGCAAATCCAGCGGATATCAGTTACTGAAGAACATAACTGGGTACATGAAAGAGCTGCGTAAGTTTACCTTGTTGTTCAGAATCACTACAAGGTGGAATTTGTAAGTGTGCCTATTTTTAATTCAATGTTAATAGAAGAATGAAAACAGAATGGTGCTACCGACTTCCACAAAGTCGCTTTCCCAGGAGGGGATGGAACTTTGCTTGGTTTGTCAAGTCAAAGTAAACTTCTGAGCACAGGTGGTACAGCTCGGTAACTCTAAGAGATGTCCACAATGTTGCCAATTAAATGCTGCACTTCTTAGATTATTTTGTTTTGAAGTTTAACTTGGTTTTGTGGAATAATTTGCTTGGAAAATTAAGCTGAGCACATAACCTGAGCCCATAGATATGTCCTTGTTTATTTCTGAAGATAAGATTTGGGCAATTTTATCAAAAACTTGGAAGAAGGTTTCTTGGAAGAAGGTTTCTCACGTGGTTTCTTAACAGAACTGTAAACTTCAAGATAAAAGACTAGAGAATTTCAGGGTAAAGGAGAAAATCCATACTGAAAAGAAGCTTGTTAGGATTTGAGAAATTTATTTACTTTGCTGAAGATCATAGATATATTCTAAAACTTCTTGCTTGCCTTGGATGAATAGCCCTGAAGACAAAATAGATGCATTCTTAAACATGAATTCAACTTTGATAGACAGTCACAGATTAGTGACAGACGTCAGCGATGTCCTATTATGTGACCCTACGCAGTCGCAGTGGTATTTTTGGTGGAATCTAGATATTGGAATAAGGATTTGCAGTGCCTGCTAAGAACTAATTCTTTTAAGCAGAGATAGATTTCGTTGATAGGAATGTGAGCTTTGTTTAATTTAAATGCAAGCAATGTAGTCACAGAGTTAAAGCTTTGAAAAACCTAAACACTTCAGCTTACATGCTCTGAATGTTTATGCAAACTTTCTGGGTTTGTTGCAGGAAGAGGGGCATATTGCACATGTGTCAGCAAGAAGGCTGTTTAAGGAAATTTTTTCACTGAGCTTCACTCTTCACTGCTAAAGAATATTGCAGTATTTGCTGATAAGGAGATAGATATCCTGATTACTTTGTAGGACCACCTACTTCGTTCTTTTACATGTCCTTGAGAATGAGAGAAGTGTATCCAGGAAGGAGCCGAACGTACTAGCCTTGAAATAAAATTGTTTCAACATTTACATTATTGTATTATCTTATTCTCTCTGTATATTCTATTAATTATATTATTCAGCATTTAATAATAGTGTGCTTTCTTACTACCTTTCTCCTTCATAATTCTCCTTGCAGCTCCAAAACGTGCACCAAATTTTACTGTAGAAGAAACATCTTCAGATTCGATATTGGTAAAATGGGAAGACATTCCTATTGAGGACTGCCAGGGCTTTCTAGAGGGATATCAGCTTTCCTTTGCAAAAGGTGAAAAAGACGCTTTAAAGCCTAGGCTTTCAGAATCAGGTAAGCGAAATCTGTAGTTTGTAACTTTCCCATTCAAGCGTTTTTTTATTCTCCAATACTTAAATTTCACTTTTTCTGGGGAAAAAAGAAAGTTTAATTGTAGTTCAGTTGCATTACTCAGTGACAGGATTAGTGCCTGGTATGCGGCAAAGGCATTAGGAAGATCAAGTTCTTTGCGTTGGTAGCACAGTTATTCTTTAATATAAGGCAAAAGTCAGAGAAAGCAGTGACTCACCGAGGCCATGAAGCTGTGCAGTGACTAAGTGACAGTGTGACACACTGCCCAGTGTACAGACACACGGGCTCAGTTATGGGTAGGCTATATTTAATCAGGTGTATCCTTCCATCCCTCTCCTACAAGATCATGTCAGCTCAGAAGTGAACCCAGGTTCATGACAGGCAAACCTGAGTGTAAAAAACAGCCTGTGACAGCAACACAAATATTATATTGTTTGCTCCTGCACCGCTAAGCCGCATTCTTGGGATTCTCCATTTCTTTCTTTTCCAAAGACTACTTTGCCGGCTCAGTATGCTGACTTTAAGAAATTTTTGCTTATGTCAAGGCTGTCTATGAGAATCCCTTCTTACAAAGTTTTATTTTCTTACTCCTCACAAACAAACAGGGAATCCAGAACTTAAAGTTAAGAATATCACTGACTTAACAAAGAAGTCTTTGAGAATACTTGATCTTCAAGGCAAAACAAGCTACCAGCTGGACCTACAAGCCTACACTGCTGGTGGGATGAGCCCTGCAAATAGCCTCTATGTGGTAACAAAGGAGGATTGTAAGTTGGATATCTCTRTTTATTAATATTCTTTAGCACAGGCACTGTACAATGTATATAAAGCTGAGGTTATTTTGTTTTGTCCCTGCAAGTAGTTTGGGCTTACAGACTACGTTTTTATTTTGATTAGTTATTTATTTTTAGATATAAAAATTGTTGCAAGAAAACATTCCTGTTATAGCTACCGTGTAGTTCATGGAAATGTATGCAAGAAAAATAACTCTCAGGCTGCTCSTAGACGTGGTGGAGTCCCAGCTTTTTCAAACAGCTAGTTGTTTTTGTCAAGTTTCCCATGATGAATATCTGCTAATAAATGGTGGGAAGAAATGCATTATGAAAATATTTACCAGTTTTAGAATTATAAACAGATGCCTCTCTGCTTTGATTTCGGCTTTATCAATCCCATGACAGAAGCAAACTCAAAAAAGAGACAGACTTTGGTGGATGAGAAAAATTTTTTAAAATATTTCATGTGGAGGGAAGAATAAACATCAGGGTACAATGAAGATATATGAAAAATCAAACCTGAGGCCCTTAACATCGGTGGGAATGTGTCGGAGTAAACTCTGGGGATTAGAAGCATTGTGAGATAGATAAAAGGCAGTGCAGAGCCATTACCAGAGATTTGGCCTCCTCACGTAACCTGAAAGTGTGATTCTAGTGCTTCCTGAGAACAGRCCTTGCATGGCAATCCTTCTTGTGTTGCACACAAGCTATTTTCAATTAATCAATTGGAGAGAAATATCTATTGATTTCTGCAGTTATCCTTGAAATAATCCCCTTACTGGTAGACTTTTCCTCTCCTAGTGGAGGGGAAGTATATGGTATGAGTCACAGTTAAATGAGTTTCTTGTTAGATTAAATGGTCTTTGGTCTGTGGGAATGATGCAAAAACTATAAACCTTCCTGGTAACTTGGGATATGTCTTTACCATTTTTTTCCTTTTCTCCCCTCTAGCTGTGGGATTAATCATTGCAATCCTCATCCCAGTGGCAGTGGTTGTGCTGCTTGGAGTAGTGGCCAGTATCTTTTGCTACAGAAAGAGAGAATGGTAAACGCCTGCCTTCAGTTCTGGTCTTCTCCTGAATGTGTTTGCTTCAGGGCTAGAGTTTTCTGTGATTTGCATTACTCTCTTGTTTTCTCCAAATACCTAGAGATGTCAGTGAGGTTTACAGGCTTTTTCTTAAGAGMAGGTGGCAAAAACAGATTGTAGAATGTGAGGAGGGAGCTGAGTTGAAGAGAAGCTGAAAAGAGCTTGGAGCTGGTTAGGAATGCAACAAAAAAGGGGTTGCGGGAGCCTGTCTCCCAGGGAGCACTGTCTATAAATAGTGCCCAGTGTAAATAGGCTGGTGATATTTTGTATTTTCTGACCTGTCCACAAAGAGCCAGGTAGACACTTGATCCTCAACTTCTCGTAAACATGACATTTCAAATTCCCAAGTTAAAAATAAAAAGAAAATGTTTGCTGTTCTTTCCATTAAGTGCTCAGTGACAYGTGGAAATGTAACACAGTAAAGCTTTATGCCAGATGTCTTGCGTATTCTGAATTAAAGGGAAATGTCCCCGTTCCTTTATTGTATTGTCAATCTATTTCTAGGCCTGGTAAGTTTTGAAAGTTCTTTCTTTATTCTTTAAAGGATTAAAGAAACATTTTATCCGGAGATCCCAAATCCTGAGAACAGCAAAGCGCTGCAGTTTCAGAAGAACATCTGCGACGTAAGCCTCCTTTTAAACTTGGTATTTTAAACTTCTAAAAGCTTTTGTGAGTAGAAGAGTCTTTTGCAAACTTTGAGTCTTCTGCTCCACTTGTAAATTAACTCTGTGACTGGGGAAAACAGCCCCAAGTTGCTGAGTTACTTTTGCCAGACGGTATCTGGAGCTATCGTGTTGTAAGTGTGGTTACTTGGAAAACTTGAATAACGAGAGCACTGCTGCATCTCTGTTGTCTTACACTAATAGCACATCTCAGTAGACAGGATAAATTCCTGATATAGTTATCATCTTTCTCACAGAAAGAAAGTGTGTATGCCGTGTTCCCAACTTTCTGATGCACTTAATAGCTTGACCTAAGGGTAACATTTAAATATTTTTTCTGAAGTGACTTATGCAAAGAGGAGATTTGGGGAAGCAGTTCTGAAGCACTTACTGCAAAAGCTGGAGTCTCTTTAAATTAACTGGAATACTTTTATGTTAACAGGAATGTGTCAATATTTGTGAGACTGAGAATAAAATCACTTTTTGTATTGTATTAGTAGTAGTGGAATGAGGGCAAAGCTGCAAGCCAACATACTGCTTTAATTCAGGCAGGCTGTTGCTTTCAAGCTTTCCTGGTCTTTTTGCTTAGTCTCTCCCTTTTCTCCTTTTTCTCATTTCAGGGGAATAAGACACTTAAAACACTGGAAATGAACCCCTGCACCCCCAATAGTGTTGAAGTGGTGGAAACACAGTCTGCCACTCCCAAGATAGAAGACACAGAGATGATGTCCCCAGCCGCAGACACCTCCCTGCCCGAAGATGGCTCAGACTCAGAAAACGAAAACCATGTAGTTGTGTCCTACTGCCCCTCTATTGTAGAAGAGGAGATCTCAAATCCCCCTATGGATGAACCTGTGGGGTCATCTCAGGTGGTTTACATTGACATCCAGTCAATGTATCAGCCTCAAATTAAAGCAGAGGAGGAGCCAGAAATAGACTTTGTGACTACAGCAGGCTACAAGCCACAAATGCAGCTGCCTATCAGTGCTCTGAAAATAGAATCTCGCTCAGCTACAGAGGAAGAATCAGATAAAACTGCAGGTTACAGGCCTCAAGCAAACACTAATGCCTGGAACATGGACACTCCAGACTCGCCTGGATCAGTTGAAAGCAACAATGAAAATGCATCTTTTGGTAGCCCGTGCTCCATTAATTCCCGACAGTTTTTGATCCCCCCAAGGGATGATGAAGACTCTCCCAAACCCACTAACACAGCGTGGTCCTTTACACACTTTTTTCAGAACAAACCAAATGATTAGCAGTGGGTCCTCATCACGCCTGAACCTGCCTTCTAAATAAGCTCTTATTCCTGATGTGTTAAAGAAAGGAGGAAGAAAAGTGCAAAAGGCACGAATTATTCTTGGACACAGTCAGCAGAGGCTCAAGTGAGCTTGAATGTTACCATGTTTAAGTTGGTGAAAGTGTTAAAGTTCCATTTTAAGAGAGACTAAAAGGCCAAAGTTATATCCATTTACTTATTATTCTAGCAAAATATATTGGATGTAAGGGGTATTGAGTTTAGATCTCCTGATAATCATAGTCAAAGAACTCTGCCTACCTTCACTTAGTGTTCCAAGATTAATATGGTCTCATACAACTTATAACTTAGATTGCTTTGCTTTGTTGTAGTTGATCTCAACTGTGCATACTCAAAAGATATAGCCAAAACAGGTTTACAAACAGAATGTTTAATTTATCACAAACCTCAGCCTTAACACATAGAAACAGCATGGTTGGAAAATCTTGAGATCTTTCACCTAGTCATAAATTAAGAACGTTTAAAGTGCTATTTTTTTCTCTCATGTGGAGGAGTATTGTTGCTGTTTAACACTTCTTAAGCAATGGCCATTCATATCTGTTGCTTTTTAACTAGACACTAGTTTCTGTACCTACTGTACAATGTTCATTCAATGTTTGACTCAGGGGTACAAACTTGGAAAAAAAAAAGTGTAACACTGATTTAAACCTCAATGAGAGCTATATCAAGTTGAAAACTTTTTTTTTTAATTGTTAGAATGCTCTATATTTTTTTTCTATCATTTGATTAAGGAGTAAATATTTCCTAATGTATTGCACTAATGCATTTTGTATTTTTATAGCTTCAGCTCTGGATCTCTTGTCTCCAAGTGGTACAATATTCCTTTCTCCCAGTGTTCATCAGACTTTGGTTATACTATACACCAATGTAAGCCATGAGGAAAACTGCACTAGCATCAGCTGACCAAGCCCTTTGGCACTCAAAAGTAGAGACAGTAATATTAGCTCTTTTAGAACAAATTGCTCCTTGGATTATCTTTACTGTATTAGCTTTGCCACCTGCTGCCTGGCTCTCCTTCACAGTATCTACCCTACAAATCCTACCTAGGAGTACTAGGTGGGATTTTTCTGCTGGCAGGAAGAAGCTCAAGGAGGCTTTGGTGCCACTAATGCTACCTCTCCTTTACCAGACATGTGATGCGAAGATAGCCTAGATAATATAAATTTGTGTGTTTAAAGAAATGTTCAGAACAATCGTCTTTGAATTTTGTTTTCACATGCACACCTTCAGGCAGCTCTGATTGTAACATTTCACTGTGCTACCTTCAGCTCTGGCGCACACATAGCTTATATAAGAAAGTGCTTTGTAATTTACCTGTTCCTTAGCATCGAACACAATCACAAGAGGATGTATGTTAAGGCACTTGGTCAGAGAGGCTCTCCATAATGTCCTACCTGAATGTCTGGGTTTGTTATAGATTTTGATTTCTGAAACTAGTTTGTGGCTTTTTAGTAAGTTGAAGGAATGGATTTCTAAGCAAGAGAGAGCCTGAATTTGCTAAGCTACAAGTTCTGAAGGAGTGTGAAGGACCAGGAAGATGGCTAGCTTGGTAGACATGTGGTCCACAAAATCAAATGATCTAGCTATCAAAATAAATCCAGGCAGTGTGTTTGTGCCATCTCCATGGATTGAAAGAATAGGGAGATTTCAAAACTAACAAGACAAAAGAAGTAAATAGCATCCAAATCCTTATCAGCCCTAACTGCTTGTGTGCACCTTCTGGAAGAGTGAAAACAGTAGAAATAGACCTGTTTGCAGACCTGAGCAAATGCAAGGTCTGTCTGAAAGAAGAGAATAAGATTAATGCTTATTTGAGGATGAATTTGGAATAGAGACGCAAGTGAAAAGACAGACYCTAAAAATAGCTGGAATCCATCCATTACCAGATAGCACTACAGGGAAAGGTTTCATGCCTAATTATTGCTTCCTGTTATTCAGAACAGTAAAAAGACCTACATAAAAGTAAGTAATTCTGTTCCTTTGTGCTTGGTGGCTGGGAGATGGCTAAATCCAAGGAGGAAAGCCCCGTTCCTTCCATGCCAAAGCTTGTAATCCCTCTTCATTTCTTTTCACTGCTGCAGAACTGTTTTAATGTATTTAGCACCCAAYGTGAATTTTGTATTGTGCTGCCATATATTGTTACTGGAAGCAGATGATGTCAGAGACAAAATGTTTGAGTAGTGTGTGTGATGGGGGTGGTATTTGTGTGTGTGGTTTTCATTGTGGAAAACCTTTCCTGTGCAGCAGTTTTTCAGTACAGAGGAGCGAGCACTTATGATGTGATTTGGATCATCATCCAAATGAAAAAAAAAAAAAAAAAAAAAAAAAAAATTGTGTTGGAAAAGGTAATTTTGAGGAATAACAGTGCTTTCTTACAGCTGTATTGCAAGAAGCAAAATCATACTGAATTTAAACATCCTGGCAGTTTTTAATTCAGCATACCTGAGCCCAGGGCAACTGCAGAGCAAGCAGAGAACAGACTGACACCCCCAGCAATGCTTCCACAGAGGGTGACTTAGATACAAGCACCATGTGCTTGGCATTTCCTCTGTGCTGCCTTTCCTTTTTAGCAAGGGCAATGGYGTTTTTAATTGGTTGATTTCCTCGTAAAACACTAGTGAAAAATTCCTCAAATACGGGGTCTGTCAACATTATCAAAGCGCTCCCACCTAATTATCCATCACCTTTTTTATTTTTGATTACCTATTTTAATTGACTTACTTCAAGGCTGTAAAACAGAGGAGTCCATTTAGCAGTAATGGCTTACCAAACCCAAAATATTTTATGGATAGCAATTTTCATTGGACCAACTGAAAGCTCAGGTAGAGACTCGTTCAAATGCCTATCTAAAGTCTTCAGCAGYGAGTCCAAATTTGAGCAGGGTGGTGGGGCTATACAAAGCATGTGTGCTAACTTAGTRCCCATGCAGAGACACTTCTCAGTATGGGAAATGTCAGGGAAGAGCCTTGATTTTTGAGCCAAAGCGATTTGTTAAACATCAGCAAAGCATCTGAAAGAATGGGTAGACTGAGAAGCAACTTGCCTTCCACACCAAATTTGCTTTCAAAGCATGGTGCTGTTTAACTTCAAATGTATTGATGATCAACTGGGCTTCAAAGGGGATCAGACTCCCTGAACTGGTGGTGCCTTCAGTTTTCCCGGTCAGCCTCTTGCATCAGACTAGCTGTAGGCAGAACTTCTTCCCCTCGTTTGTGGGGAAAAAAAAACTTAATAACTTAAACTACATTTTCTAACCATCACTCTTTTGAAAGATCTTAGTTCTGTATTAAATATTTTTTGATGTTTTAGTTCTTCTGTGATTTTGTTTTTTTCGAAAGAGTAGAAAGTTCTGGTTTAGAAAGAAACAACTTCTAGAAGGGATGCAAACAAAAGGGATAGTGTCCAAAACTACCATTACTCTTAACTCAGTGTTTGATCAGTGTTCGGACACGTAGAGTGTTAGTGTCAAGCAATGACTTCCTGAAGCAAAGCTTTGGTGCTGCTCCTTTTTATTTTTGAGCCATGCCTGTCATATGTGACAGTTGGGGTTGGTTTTTTTTAATGGATTCTTACACCGCTCGCTTTATGCATGGAGCATCAGTCACATTGGATGTAGTAGCACGCGCTCTCCTGTTCACTTCTTGTTTTACCCAACTGATAGACGGTGGGTTCTGGCGTCTTGGGCTGTGTGTTGAATACGGGGCTGTGGATACGAATGCGATATACCTCACAACTGCTAGCTAATATATCGTCAAAAAGAGTAAGCTAATGTTCCAGGCAGCAGTGAATTATCTCCCTGCTATGTGGTGRCTGCATGTGCAAACTTAGGACCTAGTGACTGCCCTTTCCTGCCGTAGCTGCCTGTATTATTTGTAGTTGCAGCTTTCATAGGTGAATCATGTCCAAAGGGAGCCAGGAGCTGTGCTGTCCGTCAAGGCACAGGTAGCAAATGTAGCTAATGTGTTTCTTCATCTATGCTTTATGTGGGGGACCAGAGCTTTCCTCTGCTGGGAACATGAAGGCAGGGAATTCCTGCTGAACCACGRTTTTAGGCTGCTCTGAAGAGGCACCTTCAAGCCTATGTGTGTGTGTGTTTATGTATGTGTGTGTGTGTGTGTGTAAGTTCAACTGGGTGAAATTGGAGTTCAGGGCTGTGAGATTCCCCCTGTTGTTGTCCTTTTATGTGACGCTCAGCTGAATATGAAAATTCCTTGTCAAGAATAATAGCAAAAATGAGGGCAACTGAATACATTGGAGAAATAAGTTGTTTGGAAATCACTATTAAAAGGAAATGAGAAATGGTGTGCTCTATTTTTAGAGTTTATTTCATTGTAAATAAAATATTTGTATCTGTAAGTAGATGGAAATATAGTAAAAGAATTTGAAATATTTACAAAACGATGTGAGTGATATTTGATGAATCAATTACTAAGCAGGCTCTGTGTACCATAAATTTATTAAAAGTTTCCCATGTAAATAGCATCCTCTGTCCCACCACCGATGTTGATGAAGTCTTTAGTTCAAATGGCACTACTATTTTTAACATTGCAAAAGGTCCTAACTCCTTATGTGAGTATGTGCTTACATCCGTATGTGCCTAGGTGGGTCTTGCAGAAGTTGACTTGCAGCTCTCAGATCCCTGTACTTGAGCCTGCTGAGGAGACAAGGAAAAGGCTGTTGTCCACGCTCCTCCCAACAGGCTCACGCTGTTGTGCATTAACCAGTGACCTGTGTGATTAATGTTCAGAGATGCTGTTGGCAGTTCTGGGGACTTGCTGTTGGCTTTCTCTTTGGCTTCTCCAGAGCAAACATGGAAACACAATCCCAGACCTCAGAATGCCAGACACAGATTCAGAAGTGTTGGAGAATTTAAAAGATTCATATCCTCATGCTTAGGCCAGTCGTAAATTTTTAGCTATCTTGCTAAAAGCTGGAGAACAGTTTCTTCAATAACAAGTTGATTTCCCTCTGCTCCCCTTTATATAACTCTGGATTTCCCCCAGTGTTTCTGAGATAGCCAATGTTTGTTTCCTTTCTGCGTGTTATACAAACAAACCTCTGATGATATTGGCAGGCTTTTCTGTGACTTTACATGTTGTCCCAGGGTGCATAACAATACTTTTCCCCCACAAGAATGTCTATTAATTTCTTTCACTTTTGCACCAAAAAAAAAAAAAAAACAGAAAACCTCAAACTGCAGAGGGGCCTTTCGTTTTCCAGAGGAGCTGCTCCACTTCCCAGGGAGGGGAGCTGGAGTGAGGGCCGGATGCTTGGGAGCAGGCTCCAATGGAAACACAGGCAGGACTCACAGCTATGCACCAACTGGCATGAGTTTCGGTGCCTGTGCTACAGGGCTGGTGTAAAATGTGGTACCTGGAGAGTAAAGCTTATCCAGAAAGTATCACAGAATCACAGCTTGGTTAAGGTTAGAGATCATCTAGTCCAACCTGCCCGCTCAAGCAGGGACACCAAGAGCATGTGGCACAGGGTCACATTTCAGAAAAGTGAAATATTCTTTCTTTGGCTATTTGGGCTGACGAAAAACTGGAAAAATAAATAGCTCAAATGGGGCAAAATAGAAAGTGGTGAGAGCTCACACTTTTAAGTACTAATACGATAAAAAAATAAAAATTTTAGAACTTCACATTGACAGATTGTCCATAGTATGATTTGAGTGATGAACAGCATTTTATGCTTCATAGTGTGTTGGAAAAGCTTTTAAAGTGGGGAACAGTGAAAAATAAGATAGCTGACTCTTGTCTGAAATCCCACTCAAACATCAGAGCAATTCAATCTTTGATCTTGTTGTGGTGCACAAAGCAGTGGAGCTGGTGGAGTCATACAGGTCACCTGGAAAAAAATTGCATTGTACTGAAATGCTGTAACTTGTAAAATATATACTGTGAACAGGTTCGATGTTTTTTTAGCTCTCACTTTTTATACCATATTTTTTACAGCATAAAATGATTTGTTTAGAGATGTTTTATGTTCTGTTTTTACAAAAAATTTAATGGACTTTTGTTCAATACTAGTGGAAGTATTGTTTGCCAGTTTTCCATGGTCATTATACAAATTAGTTCAGAGAATAAACAGTAAATCTGTCTGACAAAATAGTCATCCTAACACGCTAGACCTAATCAGCCATTTCTCATACTTCTTTTGCGGAACAATATGAAGCTGTCCAGCTTCCAAATCTGTTGGAAAAGACATTTCTTTCATAAGTTAAGCAAAATGATCACAAGGCACTTTAATGAAGTTGTAGCATACCAAGTAAAGTACTGATTCAACAAAATGTATCAGCAAGCAAATTTATTAGCTAAGCAATTAGACAAATGCATGCTTGAAAAAGGAAGTGTGGAATTATGTTGAGGAAATAATATTCCAGTATGGCAAGTGACATGTAAAACTAAACTAACACTAAGATACCAACTTTGCATACTTTAAAGACCTAGTTTGCTTGACTGTTGTAACTCCTGGTGTATTGCTTATATGTGTCTAAAAGTACGCATGTATTTAACAATTTTGCCATAGTATTGCTATGGAATTTAATAAATATATTTTCTTACACTGTTATATGTTTGGCTATTCCTCGCTTGCATGTTTAGTTTTTAAAAGAAGAGTTAAATTCTGCTCCTGCTYCAGTATAAACTGAATTGTTTAAACTTAGTGCCAGAGTAAATAACCACAGAATCTGGCGTGCACGGCCTTGGCTTCTTGACCTGCAGAACTGGTAGTAACTTGAATAATCTCTGAGCAGCTGCTCCTTTGCGCATCATTTCATAGCAGATGCRTGATTTACTGGATCCCATCTGGTTGAACGGGACTAGTTGTGCTTGGCTGCCGTTGAGCGGGCGCTGTGGTTTTGCAATGCAACTTCCCTGCAGGCTTGGGCTGAGGTCTTCTGAGATGAGCAGGGGGGCTCACGGGGGCACTGCTTTCTATTGCAGGATGAAGTCAATAGCAGCAAGGAGAAGCGGGGCCAAGCTGAACACAACGAGGTCAGTTTAGGTGGTGCAGGACACTTCCTCAATGAGTTCTGGCAGAAACAAGAGGACCAGCTTCTGCAGTGGCTAAAACACTCTACTGTTGAGACAATTTATGCCATAACACTTGCTGTAGCAAGGAGTTTTGTGGCTCATTTARCTTTGATCTCCACTTCCTTGGAGGCAGTCTGGAAAGGCGAATAACTGAATCCTTGTCCTGAATAGCAAATGGTCACACAGCCCAGCTAGCTGGTAACATACCAGTAAACAGTGACCTTCACTCAGTGCAGGACAGGTGAGGCGTCAAGGGGCAAAGTCCTTCAGGCAGTCCCAGAAGCATCTTGGAACACAAAGCAGTATCTGGAGTGGGAGAATGAGGAAAGGCGGCAACTGTTCCCAAGTGGAATCCCAAAGCTGCTGTCTCACAATCTGGCACTGCTTTGGCAGAGCTGGCACCATTGGTGGGACCTATGGCCTCAGGATTCAAAATAAGTGGAAGGATGGTGGAGTTGCAGTATCTCCTGAAGAAGAAGGTTTCAGCAGTCTTTCAGCTATAGCTTAACTTCTTACTTTGAAAAAATAGATAAAAATCATTGGGTTGAGCATTCAACATACCTCCTAGCTAACTGGACATTGCTCCCCTTTGATAATGATGTAGTTGTGCAACGGCAGCATCAGAGGAACATGCACGTCATGGGCTTCTTTGCAGGACCACAGCTGAGCCAGGCATATGAGGGATGACAAGTGGTTAGATCGATTGAGCTCTACCATTACATAACTAATTTTCAACAGTAGCTGAGAGCTCTGCCACCAGAAGAACCAGGGGGATGTCTCACCCTGCTGCTGACAAGTGCTGTCCCTTGCTCTCTGGCAGGAAGCTCAGGTGTGACAAATAGTCTAACTGCTCTTTCTTATCAGCTATTTGGTGCCCTTGCTGATTACATAACAGTTATCCTCAGTTCTGTGAAGATGTACCCTAAGGCTACCTTTTTTTTCCCCTAAGTCAGTGCAAAGCCTTGTAGCAGCTAATATCCCATGCTCTTCATTTCCGTATAATATGACTGTTATAGATGAAGTATAGATGGTGCCCTGAATTTTGAACATATTTCATAATCTAGCTTCATTTTATGAGGTACCTGGGAACTATTAATGCAGACAGTTTTAGAAAGCAATCAAAGACAATCACAGAGCCGAGAGGAGTCTAGGATTCATGTAGTGATATATCTTATCAAAAAAACAAATTGTATTATAAAAATATTCTGTGTTTGAAGGCAGGATAGTGAACGATCATTTGGAACTGCCCAGTGTTTCATGATGAGGATGAGGGTGGTGAGTGGGAGTTAGCCTGAAAGATTAAGTTAACCATAATATTCTGCTTTCCTGTATTTCCCTTTTCAATGCAATCTACTCCTAGCATGTCGCTGGCTGTAGAATCAGGATTTAGCATTTATTGTTGCAAAGAGTTATTTTCAACACATCTATAAAGGAGAGAGACTCCTTCTGTGTGAGGCATGAATGCTTAAAAACCTCTCATTTAGTGAAACAACCTAAATATGGTGATTTCAGTTTTGAATTCTGTTTTGTTGACATCATGATTCAAAGCCACAATGTGGAAAAATGGAAGCAAAAGAAACCGTGAGGGCACTTTGTGTAAGGACACACTGTGTCTCTGGTATCTTCCTAAGGAAAATCTACAAAAATTCTAAGGCGCCCTCAAAAAAATGACTATGTAGCCACAATAGCCCCTGAAAATTATGTAWGAAGGTTGGAAAGCTGTCGATTTGTGAGTTGACTTGACACCATYGGGTGTCTGTGATCTATGGTTTCATTTCTCCTGCCTTTTACCTTGTGTCAAGTTCTGTGGCCTTCTGCCCTATATGGGAATTTGGGGCAGTTCTCTTCCACACTTCAGATGATTCAGCTGTGATACACAGGGCTGGAAAACCTGATTCGTAAGGAAGACCTTGAAACAATTGGCAGAACGGGCATTGCTTTTTCTTAGCAAGTTAGACTGAGGAAATCTTATAAAAAAAATAAGAGGAGGAGGAACCAAGACAAAGTCCTTTTTGCCTTGTGCATAGTAAACAAGGATTAATGGTTCTACATTAAAACAAAGATAAATCAAGAGACATAGGGGCACTGGCTGYGCTCCTCTCATATGGACACAACGATGACATTGACAATGTTCTCATGGAGCCAACATTCAGAGGCATCACCATTCCATTGCACTTCCTGTTGCCAGCTGCTCCTCTGTGCCAGGTTGGATTTGTCATTCCCAGTGATTTTTCCCACCTGTAGGGGCTGAAAAATTACTTTTCCCTGCCCTGCCCAGACCTGGATGTTTGCTTTTTCTTGGTCAACAGATTTGAAGGCTAAAGCTCATGGTGGCAGTTTGACATAGGAGATGCAGGTGGGCACCTTGTCCAAAGCCTGCTGTTTTTCCTGGGATTCAGATGCCAGGGCAGTGCCTGCCTTGAGGCTCAGGAAGCACCTGCTSGGGCTGGAACTACCAGCTCCTGAGCCATCTTTACAGGATGTTCTCAGCTCCTAGGAGATGTTTTATTGCCTCATCCACCGTCCCACCACCTCATACACTTCCCATATCCCCACTACTGCCTCTGAGAAAATAGTAATAATAAAAATACTAATTTAAAAATTAATGGAGAGGACCTTTT